GCCAACTGAATGAGTTGGTACACTAACCTGTAAGTTGTGTGTCATTCCGTTTCAATCATTTTTTTTGCCAAATCTCCAATACTTTGAAGACTTGAGAACTCTAGAGATGATTTGACAAATATAAGAAACAACCTAAGTTGTTCATTCAGTTCATGTTTTTCTCTTGAGCTAAAATCATCTGGGTATAATTTAGCAAGACGAAGTAGCCGCTTCAAATCAAAATGAGAGAATGAGTCTTTAGGACTTAAGGACGATATGCACATCAGTAGCTCCGAACTTGACTCAGTAAAACGATTATTCATCTCTTGCATAAGTCGGTCAATAACCTACCATTATATTTAAAAAAATAATGAAATAATGCAGTAAAACAAATAAATTGAAATACACTTAAATAAGAAATAAAAATCCAAAATTACCTCGAGAAATATGTCAACATGAAAATAATGGTAATAAGTTTTCGGGCTACCATCAACTGTCTTTTGTCTTTTCACTCTGCTTGGCTTTACATCTTTCATATTAGGCACATCAATACCATGACTTGAACAAAATGTAGTCACTTGTTCAACCAACAAACCCCAACCATAATCATTACGATAACTTTCCAAATCGGCCTTGTCTGCCTTGACAAGATCAACAACATTTCCTATGCTTTGATTCTTTTGTTGCAATTCTTTCGATAACACATTAGTTTTTCCTAATAATTGCAACATGAAATGACCAATGAACACAAACTCATATGTTGCCATTTTTTTCAATCAAACTAGAAGAAATGGATTTACTATTCCGATCAACACCATCATCAAATACGGCTTCAAGTACCTCAATCACCGCATCCCACATATCTACAACTCTGATGATTGTTTTATAATGAGATCCCCAACGAATATCACCTGGTCTTACCAGACTTTTTCCTTGAACTATCTCGAGCATCATCAATCAATAGAGAAAAATACTTGCTACCAATCTCAATAATAATAGCATGTCTTTCCTCAGTTGCACACACATTAACAATCTCCTTTTGAATTTTAGGAGAGGTAAGTTGACTATTCCCAGGAGCGTTTGAGTTCATTACCATATCTATATGTGGATGTCGTCTACACTCCCATTTCAAGAGTTCAAGGAAATTATCTGTAAATACATTTATACAAATTTACAATAAGCATTATAAATTAATAATGTACAAATAAGATAACAATTAATGTAAATAATGTAATAAATATTTACCTGAATGCACTGAAGTATCTGATTCATCGTGACCTCGAAAAGCCAGTTCACTCTCTAAAAGGAATCAAACTATATCAACAATAATTGTTAATCTAGCATGATAATCAATCTCATCTTTCTTGGTTTGTTGGGAGAATACATAATCCACATTTTGCTTTTGATTTTTGAACCCAGAATATTGAATTTTTGCATAATGATGTATGCTTTTTGGAGTTCCTTCGTGGTCACGAAATTTTTCCTTGGCCTTCCTCCAATTATTAAAACCAATTTGAGTAAAAACATCATCCCCATTTTTATGGCCTCTAGCAAACAAATAACACAAGAGACAAAACGCTGCATCCTTGGCAACACTATATTCCAACCAATTAAATTCTTCAAACCAATGCTTTTGAAAAGATCTCATACACCGACTAAAATCAGTTTGTGGAAATTTGAACTCACGTGGTTGAGTAGGGCCCTTTGTCAAATAACGTATTCTCACTTCTTCTCTAATATTAACATTGTAACTTTCAATTGCTTTACGCAATCCAGGATCACCAACAATGTCATCCTCAGATATTTCAACTTCTATTCGAGGCTTTTTAGCATTATTATCAACGTTAGGAGTGCTATTATCTGACGAAGAAATTACATTATTCGATGAAGAACCATCAATGCTCGGCCCTTTACTACCTTTGGGAACCTTTGAAAAAAATCGTAACATAGAGATTCTTTCTCAAACAACCTAGAAACACTACAATTAAAGCGATTATAAGAATTAACAATTAATAAATTATTAATTTAGAAATACTACAAAAAATTAAAATTAACAGGTATAAATTAAAATTAACCTTTAACAAATAATTTTCAGCCCTACAACATTATCATTTACCAAATACCAACCAATACATTATACAAATACTATCAAAAAACAACAAATAAAAAGAGATTTATGGCTTACCTAGCGGCTGGCGAATGTCTGAAGCTCCAAAATCCGAATGGCCTGCTCGAGTCTCGATTGCTCGTCTGCTCGGATTTCTGTCTTCTGTGCTCGGCTGCTCGCCTGCAGGCTACTACGGCTGTTGGCCGATGGCCGACAGCCTCTGTTCTCGGCTCTCGACTCTCAATTGCTCTGTGCGACTGTGTTGGACTGCTCCGTCTGCTCGCCTGCTCCGCTGCTAGTGTACCGTGTGCGTGTTTAGACGGAAGAGCCGAAGAGGGCCAAGAGGGGTTGAGACGCTTAGTTTGGTGCTTTGGCCTTTGGGCAATTGGGCCGCAAGGTGGGCTTTGGGCTGGTAGGCTGCGGGGGCTAAAATATTTAAAAAAACAAAACTGGAGGGGCTGGGGCCCTCCAAGCCCCATGTTCCTTCCGACACTGATCACGTCGGATCACTATTGGCGGAAGATCCCTAAAGTTGGGATTGTTATGAAATAATCGATAATTGGATTTATTATGAGCGGATCGACAATAGTTTAGATTATTAGTATGAAATGAATTGCGTGTATTAGTTGTATAGTTATCGGTTAGTCATGAAAAACGCATAAAGGCCAGGTATGGTGTGCTTTAAATGATTTTCGTTTTTAACACGAAAGGGCTAGTTGCGCTATACGTAAGCAACAATGGATGGATATTCATAACACGCATGCTTAAGGTGCTATTCGTTTCCGTGCGGGAGAATGGGATCGGCGATGCTCCATCCGTCCCTCCCATAAATCAAAAGCATCACTACGACATTACCCTTTTTAAGTCTTGTTAAGATCCTACTATTTTGTTGAATAGAAGGAATGATCCAAAGTCTTAATTCAAAAGCATTACTACGACATCCCATAAAATGTCAACTTGATAAGAGTAGTTCAAAATCTTATATAATGTTTTATTGTTTTATAGTTTTTCGATATGAGACAAATACTTTAACAAATCTCTCACAGTGGCGGACCCAGAGATTTGTGAGAGTGAGGCACACTAGACACTAAACTTAGTCTATAATAAAAACTCTGGGCCCGAAGCGAGGCACTGGTTTTTACCTTATGTGCTACTAGTGAATTTTCGAGCCCGAAGCGGGGGCACGTGCCCCCCAGCTCCCTTAGGTCCTCCACTGCTCTCACCAAAATGATCCCTAGGACGGACTCCTATGTATCAGAGGTCTAATCCAACACATAAGAGTCGTGACATCTACACAGCCGTTTGCGGGTTCTAATCCTTGATCACATGTCCGAACTTCTCACCAGTTTACGAGTTGAGTTACCTGTGCAGATACTATCACTTTAAAGTCAGACTTTACTAGGTTGATTTTTTTCTTCCCATAAACCGTACTTGGTATTATCATCACCCAATTTCTGGTCAACCGATTCAATTTCTGGACAACTGATTCGTTGATCGCTCAAGATGAGGAAAACTGATATTATTAGTGAAACTAGAAATCATATTTTTATCGTCGGCAATCATAACCTCGGGTGATGAGAAGTCAATTCCAACGTCAATACCTGATTGCACCTGCGAAGCGTCAATCTCCATATCTATATTGTCCTATACTCCTATTCTCACTCTTGATTAGCATTGTACGAACATATATGGTTTGATCTATTTAAGTCTGGTCTCAGACTCAAAGTGATTCAATTAAAAGCATCCATAGTAACATATGTTCAAGCTAAAACATAGGACACCTGATTCACTGACCGCTCAACATGAGAAAAAATGATATAGTTAATGAAACTAGAAACCATATATCCAATGTCATCAATTATTATATTTAATCCCGAACAATGAGAAATCAGACTCCATATCTATATTGTCTCATCATTCTCTCTAGCTCCTTAGGCCCTAATCCAACTTAGTGCTGCACAGACATTATACACTAATACACGTACATGAATAGCTAGCTTCGACCTCTTGGGGAAGGTACCTAGCAACCACGGAATCGCTCCACCTACGATAAAATATCTTTTTAACTAAAAAATGTTTAAGTCTTTAACAACGAAAGGACTTAGTATGAGGAAGCGGTCCAATTCAATTGATCGTCGACTCACTCTTTCATGTGGGTGATTTCGTATTTAAAAAACTCAATGGAGGGAGTTTCGGTCTTGTTAACTCCATGCTCCCCCAACCCTCAACCCATGATCGACCCCCCGGGGTACGTAGAACCCCCGATAGGAGTTATAAGTACATACTCGTACATGATGCCTAGAATTAATTAGTACTTCCTCTATTTCTCAATTAGAGTCTCAGTTTGAGTCAAAATTCTTAAATCTTGAACATTAATTGCTCAAAATTAACAATACTTTATCACACAAATTTAATTCTATATACTTGACTGTAATATGTATCATTAAAATGTTAATTCATTATATACATTATATAAGTATATACGGAGTATTTATAAATAATTACAGTCAAACAACCACCTAAAAGACCGTAAAGTCAAACTGAGACTTCAATTGTGCGATGGAGGGGTATAATTATCCCCCTTAAAGTTCATCATTAATTGATTATTAAGATGTATACGACAAGCTAGAATTTGTGTAATTATTCGTCCCTTATAATTATATATCTTGTATACAAGCTTATCTATACACACATAAACAGCTAGCTAGCCAGGCTATATATTGTTTTTATACATAAATGATATAGCTAGCCATATATACTATTATACACATGAGTAGATATATACGTAGTATATGTATACGACAAGCTAGCTAGCTAGTCTATATATATATATATATATATATATATATATATATATATATATATATATATATATATATATATATATATATATATATATATAGCTAATATGTTGTATATGTCCTTAAAGCTCGATCTATTATAGTACTCCGTTTAATATTATATATACTTAAGTGCCGCCTGAGTTGACGGGAGAGGATGGTGAAGCTGTTCATCAGTGGGTTGGCGGTGGCGGTGGCGGTGGCGGTGACTATCAGCGCCGCCGACGATGTCCCGTTTGATGATAACTACTCGGTTGAATGGGGAAACGATCATGTCACGTCCTTCAACCACGGAACGCAAGTTCAGCTTTCATTGGATCAAAACTCTGGTCGTTTACTAATTATTTTCTTCATCTTCCTTCTCATTTTATTTTCTTAACAAGCTTAAAACAAAAAAAAAAATAATATACAAAGTTAAAAATGAGATTAAGTATGATTTATTACTCAAATACGTAATAAAATTTGTTTAAGTCTATTTAAAGAATAAAAGTCAAAATATACACACACACAATAATATAAGAGTCAATGCTTCCTATTTTGAAAGAAAAATAATTGCAATAATCCTAGATAAAAGAGGTATTCCATATAAAATAGGTATTAGGTAGTATATCTGCTTGGATATTTCAAAAAAGATGTACTACGTACGTACGTAGTCCGTAGGATATTTTATACGGAGTACCTCTTTAGGAAATTTTGTGCATGTTCTGAAAGTAATAAATAGGTTTAATCAGACTGATAGCCCTAAGTCCCTAACTGTATATATAATGAAATAAGTTTCGAAATACAATTAGGATAATGCCTAATAATAAATAACAATTAATACTACACTATTACACCCCCTCAATCTATGCAGGAGGAACTACGCGTAGATTGTCTCGAAGAAATAAAAATTGTTGAGGAGCCAAACTTTTGGTGAAAATATCAGCTAACTGAAACTTTGTGGGAACATACTGCACCAAAAGATCACCATGAGCCACACGCAGGGGCGGAGCCATGACACTGGGCCGGTACAAAGAATATTATTAGAAAAAAATGTACACGAAATTTTTTACACTGAAAATATTGGCATGTTTTAAATTTGGGGTGAGCCATGGCCTAGCCTGGGCACCCCCTAGCTTCGCCCCTGGCCACACGCTCTCGAACAAAATGATAATCAATATCAATATGCTTACTGCGAGCATGGTGAATAGGATTAGCTGATAAATATGATGCAAAAATATTATCACACAAAAGTCGAACCGGTCGATGCAGAGAATAGACCGAATGTGTAAGGCATCATGCACTGTATATGCAATAGCGCGATACTCAGCTTCAGTAGAGGATCTCGAGACAGTGGGTTGTTTCTTAGAGTGCCAAGAGATCAAACTAGGACTCAGAAAAACAGCATAGCCAGAGGTGGAGCGGCTACTATCAGGGCGATCAGCCCAATCAGCATCAGAGTACGCAAGAACAGAGAGTGGGTGTTCTGCCTGCTGAAGATGAAGTCCATGCGTGAGAGTGCCGATGAGGTACCTGAAAATTCTTTTTACAACCAACATATGTGAAGCACGAGGAGCATGCATAAATTGAGACACCAAATGAACATCATATGTAACATCAGGTCTAGTCATAGTTAAATACTGCAATGCACCTACCATGCTACGGTACTCTGTGGGATCAGCAATTAACTCACCATCAGTGAGAGACAACTTAGTTCTATTAGCTAGTGGCGTGCGGACAGATTTAAGGGTATGAAGATGAAAACGAGTTAAGAGATCCGACACATATTTGGCTTGAGAGAGAAATAAACCAGTGGAATTTCGCACAACCTCAACCCCCAAGAAAAAGTGAAGATTATCAAGATCTTTCATAGCAAAATATCTCCCCAAAACTGAAATAAATTGACTGATAAGAGATGAGGAATTCCCAGTAACAATGATATCATCCACATAGAGAAGCAAATAAATGATAAAACCATGAAAGCTACTAACAAAACCATGAGTCAAGAGAAAGCTACTAAAACGAAATATGCTTGCCATGACGAAATATGAAGAGAGAATTATCTGCACGACTACAAACAAAACCATGAGTCAAGAGAAAGCTACTAAAACGATAAAACCATGCCCAGGGAGCTTGTTTAAGACCATAAATGGCCTTGCGCAAGCGACAAATATGATTAGGATATTGTGGATGAATAAACCCGAATGGTTGACGCATGTAAACCTCTTCAGTCAGATTACCATGTAAGAATGCATTTTTAACATCCAACTGACGAATAGACCAATTAAAGGAAACAACTATAGTAAGAACAATGCGAACAGTGGTGGGTTTAACAACAGGACTAAATGTTTCAGAAAAGTCAACTCCAGCCTGTTTTTTAAACCCCTGAGCAACCAGACGTGCTTTATGTCATTCAATAGATCAATCAGATCGATATTTAGTTTTATAAATCCATTTAGACCCAACCACATTTTTACTAGAATCAAACGATACTAACTCCCATGTTTTATTAGCAATAAGTGCATTAAATTCTTTAGCCATTGCAGCTCTCCATTTAAGATCTTTATTAGCCACAGAAAAGCAAGTAGGGCCAGGAACCAAAACCTGAGTATTTAAATTAAAAATCATTTTTGGTTTAAAGATTCCTGACTTGGAGCGTGTTTGCATGGGATGAAGATTTGGGACCAAGGACGGATGGGACGCCGGTACCTCGCCGTTATCACCGCTGACAGACGGCGAACTATCCGACACGGCAGAACGCACCGGCGAGCTGGGAACAACCGGAGAAGCTGTCCCAGGCGACGAAGTACTGCTAGCGGTAGTCGGCGTGGCAGCTGAGGAGAACGGAGAGGCGGCATGGTACACGGGGGGCATGGATGAAGGCAGTGAATTAGGAGCTGTAGGTGGAAAGATCTGGTGGCTGTCCAGTAGCAGTGGAAGATAATGGGGATGTCATGGAGAAAGTGGGAGAACATGTTTGCATTGTGGAGGACTCAGACGACACTTGGGACACCGGTTGAGTATATGGAAAAATGTTTTCATGAAACCTGACATGACGACTAACATAAATTCTACCTGTTCAGGGATCAAGACAACGATAGCCCTTATATTCAGACACATATCCTAGAAAAACACACTGAGTAGAACGAGAGGAAAGCTTATTTGCTGATGTAGCAGAAAAATTGGGGTAACAAGCACATCCAAACACACGCATAAAAGAGAAGTCTGGGGTCCGGTGGAATAATTTTTGGTATGGTGAAAAGCTAGTAAATTTAGTAGAAGGTAGGCGATTAATAATAAAAGTTGCAGTCAAAAGAGCCTCAACCCAAAATGTAGCTAGCAGACCAGCATCAATCAACATAGTTCTAGCTAATTCAAGAAGATGCCTATGTTTGCGTTCAGCTAAACCATTCTGTTGAGGAGTGTCTGGGCAGGATTTTTGAAAAAGAATTCCATTATCATTAAAAAAAGACCGCATACTTGAATTATCAAATTCACCCCCTCCATCACTCTGAAAATTTTTAATTTTATGATCCAATAAATTTTCCACCAGACGCTTAAAAAATTGAAAATGTGTAAAGACTTCACTTTTACGACGCATATGATAAATTCAAGTAAAACGAGAATAGTCATCAATAAAGGAAACATAATACTTGAAACCAGAAGATGAAATCACATGAGATTGCCAAACATCAGAATGAATTAAAAATAAAGGTTTATTAGCATAATGAGACACATCTTGAAAAGGTAATCTTTGAGATTTACCCAAATGACAAGAAATACAATCATGATTAAAAGAAGAAAGACTACTAAGCTGGCCAGACTTCCTAAGACCATCTAAAACTCTAGAGCCACAGTGTCCCAACCGGCGATGCCAAAGTGATCCAGGTGCTGCACTAGATAACAAAGCCAACGGTGGTGATGAAGAAAAATTAATGGGATAAAGGTTGCCGCTACTGGAAGCCTGAAGAAGATCCGCCCCCGTGATTTTGTCCTTAATCAAAACAGATTTTTTGTCAAAAATTATCATGCAATTATTATCAGAACAGAGCTTCTGAATAGAAAGCAAATTATATTTAATATGAGGAACATGAAAAACCGATCTTAAATGAAGAGGCTTAGGTAAAGAATTAATAGAAATATCGCCAATATTTTTAATGGGTAAATTAGTTGCATTAGCTACAGTAATAGCAAGTGGTCCAGAATAAATAAATTTATTAGCTAAAATACCTTCCTGAGAGGTCATATCGCAGATGCACCGGAGTCTGGAAACCAGACAGCGTCATTTTGGTCACTCATGGGTGCAGCAAGAGCAGGAGCAGTTGGCTGATTAAAGCGGGACAGACACGAAACAGCAAAATGACCTGGAGAATAGCAAATTTGGCAAACAACTGGCGGGGGAATAGAACCAAACTGTCCATCAACTAGGGGAGAGCCTGCAGACCCATGATTAGTACCAATAACAAAATAGGGATGCATATTAAATGATGAAAAGACTGAATTACAAAATGTTGTACCTGGCTATCCCTGTGGATGTGATCCCGCCGGTGGTGCCGCAAAATATCCCTGTGGGAAATAGCTGCCATGTGCGGCTGGTCCTAGCCGTGGCGGATAATAATGTGGCGGCGGTGCTCCATAAGCCGGCTGCTGGCCATACCCACGACCTCGGCCGCGGTTTCCCCTACCACGCTGACCGCGGTTCCCCCTGCCACCACACCCCCTATTGTGCTGGTTGTTGCCACGGTAATCTTGCTGGCCTGGCCCAGCTGGAGCCGTCGGCTGCACTGCAAAAGCCGTCGGAGGTGCGGCTTCCCGAGAGCGAAGATATAAAATACGTTGTTCCAGTTCAACCAACTTGATGCGTAGCTTATCAAACGTGAGGCCCTCGGGAAAGGTGGTCAGCGTGGTCATCATGGATTCATATTCAGGACCAAGGTCAAGAAGAGTCTGCTCAAGAAGATCTTTCATAGACACAGGAGAATTAATGGCAGCGAGAGCATCTGCAATTTTCTGTATCTCACGCACCAGTAAGTAAGAGATTGAACTTGACAATATATAGGGGATAAAAAAGACAAAATACTAACAAAACTAGTAATATATACTAATAAGGTCATCACAAACTTAATGAGGCATTATGCTAGCTACAATTGTTTTTCTGAATTTTATTCTAACTCTGTTTTTTCTTAGATTGTTTTCAAAAATATTACAAAAATAAAGGAGTTAATTACTAAGGAGTACTACGTATTGTATAGTATCTTTGTCAAATGTAAAAATTGAACATAAATGATTATGACTAATGTTGTTACACCACTTAAAATGTTAAGCAAATTTTTTTTATAAACCATCATTATTTTAGTCATCAATATGCCATGTATTTTCTTTTTGAAAGAATCAATATGGAATTATTTCAATCCCTTAGGCTTGTTGTTGTCCGGTTTGTGATTCGTGTGTCATATATATATTGCTCTTTCACGGAGCTTCAATAACCGTACATAATAAAATATTGATCGTTCTATCAAGTTTATCAATCAACTTTTAAACTAAACATGTAACGTTTACAAAAAACTAAACACGTAACTTTTGATTTTGCGCGTTGAATTGTGTAATAGTAAGAAAAAGTAAGGTTGAAGTTACTTTTCTGCCTGTATTGGCTGAAATTACTGTATATGACCATTTTTAGTTATTTTTCATATTGTTTTTTCTTTATTTTATTAATAAAATTATATTTTAAATATAATTTCTTCATAAATCAGCAGAATCAACCGATAAAGCCACTTCAGCGAGAACTTTATTAATTTCAGCAAAATAAGCCGATTCGGTCGATTTCAGTGTACCAAATGGACTATGAATAGAGTATATTTGTTTAAACAAATTAATAGTTAAGAACTTATGTAGATTATGTAGATTAAATTTGAAAATTTGGACTTTTTAATTCTATACTATACTTGACCCTAGAGGCTCAGTGTGGTAACACTTTTACACAATCTAATATACAAGTACATTCTGAGAGATTTGCACTTTTAGCTTTGTAACTTTCAGATGTTATCGGTATTGGTCTTGTAATTTTAGTCACTTACAAATTTGGTCCTTAAACTAATAAATCTTTGCAATTTAAGGACTTTCCACCGGAAAGTACACTTTCCGGCAGAAAAATCCGACATTGGCGACATCTTTTCTGATATACTATCGCCGGAAAGTGTACTTTTTAGGGAACAAGTCATTAAATTGGAAATATTAATTAGTTACAAGACCAAATTTGCAAGTGACTAAAGTTACATGACTAATAATGGAAACGGTCAAAAGTTACGGGACGAAAATTGCAAATTCCACTATACACTTAATGCTATATATATAGTATACATATATATGGTTATTAGTATTATAAATTTATAACGGTCACTAAAGAGTACGTAATTAAGACTAAAAAGGATTCCTTCAAAAAAGAACCCAAAAAGGATCAATAAAATGACATCAGTAGCATCCTCCAAGAGACATACGAGTAGTACTACGTATTTAGCTTCAAGCTCTTTTTTTAACGGCAATAAATTAACTTGGCTTTTAGATTGCTTCTTTTTTATATAGAAGGACGAGGCGTAAATCAATATCGCAACATTCAGATACGGAGCAAACTACAAAACTTTTGATCACAATCAATCGTCATCTCTCGAATCAAATTTAGAGCCATCTCTCGAATCAGACTTACAGTCAATCACCTTCAAAGAAGCAATATGACTCATTGATCCTATAATGAGCATAAATAACCAAAGACGGTCAAAGCAGACCTCCCACCACCCAATCCTAATGCAATGGTGTTACAAAAATCGAAATAAAAAGTGAAAGTGTAAATAGTCTGATCAAGAAAAAAAGAAACAACAAAAACAGTAAAATTAGCCGTTTGTTCCATCCTCAAGAACATGAGAACCTTCCACGCTCTAGACCAACAATAAGTCTGCTTCAGAGCCATGCTATCACCGTTTGGATCCTCCTGTTCATGCTCTTCCCAAAGCCTCATGTGCTTCTGGCCAACCGACACCTCCTCAATACTCACTGAGTCTCCTTCCCTAGCCGTGCCCTTGCCTGGATCAGTCGTAGCAACAATCCAGCTCTGTCTCCCTGCGCCCACTCCGCCATCTCTACTCTGAAAATCACTCTGTTGCTTCAGCCCCATTCCTGTGCCTGAGGTTCCTTCTACCACTAACTAGCCATGTATTTCCCTATCTAAGACTAGTCTTCCCCTCTTCCCTGCTCTAAGTTTCACCCCATAAGATTTTTCCAACACTGTATTTTCCCCCTTATATGTCAAAGGGCAAAACCTGTCAGCATGACCAATGACCCCACAGACAAAACAAAAGTTAGACAACTTTTTATATTTGAAATCCACCCCGTGACCAACTCCCCCTTTTCTAAGAGTTGTTCCCTTTTTCAGAGGTTTTCCAACTTCCATACAAATGCTGATACACATATAACCATCTCAGTTTCCTTCAAACCGACTTTCATCAAAGCTAATGGATTTTTCATTAAAATTACCAACCCTCATAGCAGTACCTATGTTCATAAAACCATAAGGGACATTATGCATCTGGACCCAGAAATCAGCCTCATGTAGGTTAACCTTGAGGGGAATATCCCCTGACTTAATTTCCTTGAGGATCAACAAATTCCTTTTAAACAACCATAGACCACTTTCTAACACACGTCTCATATCCACAATATGGTAAAAGGTGAAGAGATGCCTCTTTTAGGCGATCTCTTTGATTGAAACACCTTTGTTGGAACGCCACAGAGAGGCCATAAGATCCTTGAAAATTAGAAATTTTATGTTTCGATTTGTAAGTAAGGTGCCTACCACCAGAAAAACAGCCCGCCGCTCATTTGCCACATCCTCTCCGAACATGTCATCATCGAAGACCAACTCCTCTCCATCCCTTCCAATGACCATGTTGTCATACTGATTGATTATATCCTCCACTGGAAAGCTTCCAGCCGCACCTGCTTGCCACAATAGCTTTTTGCTTGCTCGAACAAAACCAGTCACGGAAGTCCTTCACTACCTTCTTTTTTCCCAGAGCTGCACTTCGTGTATTGCGAAAGTGGAGAAGTCACAAACCCTAGATTAGGGAGACGGCCACATTTACAGGGACTGGTATTGTTCGCACTTCTTATTTAACGATATTCTTAGTAAATGTATAAGAATAAATTATACTAAATAAAGTGTCATTGAATTTTTCTATATGTAAGTTTTTAAAAAGAATTAACTACTACGTATTTTTTATTAGCACACAATTAAATAAGTTAATTGCCAGTATCACATATTGGACTATTGGCTAGTTGGCTACGTGATATTCAAATTGTTAAAATATACGGTTAATATGAACTAATATAATAAACTATTAATTAAACAAGTAAATTTAAACTTGCACTTCCACCGTTCCAAAGAATCTTCCCACTTACCTTTTTGGAATGTCACAAGATATTCTTCTCATTTTCCTGTATGGAATGATTTGTATGATTAACATCCATTTACATACCTTTTTTTACTGAATAACAATCATGCATTCCATCTTGATTTTAACTTTCTTAATAGGTGTGTCAATTAAGTCAAGGCGGAAAGTGTTTTTTGGGTCGGAGGGAGTATATTTTAATCTTGTGATTATTTTTTACAAATAAAAAACCCTAAAGATTTGATATACCCATCTAGTATGGGTGTGTGTACATGTGTGTGTCTGAGAAATATATGCAATATTTTGTAAGTTGAGCTCAATGAATTATGTAATTTTAAACTTTCCTTTTTTATTTGTCACATATTTCTTCTTCAAAAGTTTTACTAACATAGTATATCATTTGTCCATGCACTTCAATAAATTAATTTTCATTTCGAAAATTTCATTAAAGATAATATGCAAATATGAAAAGTATTATATATTCGGTGCTAAGCATATATATATATATATATATATATATATATATATATATATATATATATATCAATCGATCACATATTAACATAGCAGAATAAGTAGTTAAATATTATTATAGATTAATTGATTATTTACATCCATATTACATTATTGATCTAAGGATCACGCTTTGGGTCAAAGTCCTTCTATGGATCAGGGTTTTTCGAAATGAGGATGAAGGTACCGCCTCAAGATTCTGCTGGAGTTGTCACTGCTTTTTACGTACGTATAACATATTCGACCTTATTTAATTAACTCAAATGTCCTTGCACTAATATGTATTCTACGGCCTGTCATGCTATATTTATATAACACTTTACATAGGATGAATGAGAGTAGTTTAAGTGATAACAATCCACTCTTAAGTTCACCCCTTTTGTGACATCTTGAGTTGGAAGTGACCTTGGTGGATTTTTTTCAAATGGTGATTCTCTAATCATGAGGCTACCTTGAGTGGTCATGTATAATCAGTATTTCATTTCGACGAAAATGTAATGGTAGTGTTTTATCGCATATCATTATTAGGAAAATTCCTAAAATTCCTAAAACATCTCTATTCTACCTGTCGTGTACACAGATATTTCATCTAAAACACAAAAAATGGAAGTTATCTATTGACACAGATAACTTGAGCATGAATACATGCTTGGGCGTGTACACCATAACCGTTTTTCAATATTAAGAGTGGATGTTAATTACAATTTAAATCTATTGTTGACAATGCATTGCACTAGTGAGCTAATATCAAAGATAGTACATGCAATATATATTACAGAGTGATATTGTTGTATGAGCACTTTTATGGAGCCCGTATGAATCCCTCATGGAGTCATATGGGTTCACGTGGCATCACCGTACTCACTCAATTTTTAGTGGGTTCTTCACTAAAAAAATTAAGGAGGCTGTGTGATATATATTTATTGAGTATGGATCACATGTCTAACTTTTAATCATATTGTCTATTTTTATACAATTACTAATATTTTTAAAGTTTAAACAATAATAATATCATAATAACTAAAAAATCCGTCCAATTTTTTCACCCCTGCAAGCAGATTTAAATTAAATAAGCCTCCGTGTTATCATGCATTGATCTTAATTGTTATATAATTTACATCTTTTAAATTAATATGGTATGTTCTCGGTGGAATTTTTCGATGAAATTTTTATGGTATGTTCTTCATCAAGTCTAGTTTATCCACACAAAAATTCAGCTCAAAATTCGATCGGGAAGGCCTTCAAAATTCTATGTATATTTTTGGAAGGCCTTTTATATATATATATATATATATATATATATATATATATATATATATATATATATATATATATATTATTAGGATGAAATTTAACTCTTAATATATATATATATATATATATATATATATATATATATATTATTAAGAGTTAAATTTCATCCTAAAATATTAACTTCACTTCATAAGAGGAGTTGCACATAATCTTATATAGTATTTTAATACTTCATAATTAACATATTTAAATCTTTATTTATATTGAGAAAGAAAAGGAGGTAAATAGAAAAAAGATAAGTACTTATAAATATATAAATTTATTATTCCCCTCAAGTTGTCCCCTCGTGCTAGAACATGAAGATATGTGATGCTCATTATGGAAGTATGTAACTTTAATGTCATGTTAAGATTTTTGAATTCTCCATCATAAATGATTAATCGGATATGAGCTAGGAACTACACATGATCTTATATAATAGTTTAATTTTTCATATTCTATCGGTGTGAAATAAATACTTTAGCACCTCAACTCATGATTAGACATTTTGTCCGGTTGTTCCAACATCCATCCATTATCATTTTTCATTATAATACAGCGACTCATGCCATTGTTATGAATTGAGTTGGCTATGGTGCAATATTTAAACATGAAATCTCATTTTAAAAGGTTAAATTAATAAGAGAAGTTACATGTGAACTTAGATAGTTATTTAAAATTTCATATTTTTCTAGTTGAGATACATACATCAACATATATCATGGTCACGGGTTGAATTAATTTAATTGAGAGTTATAACTCATTTTATATGGATTGGTTTCTTATTTGATACATATTTAACTAACAATTATTTAACAATAGTTATCATGTGTGGTCAATATTAAGTATATTTTTGTGGTGTATTTGTTGATTTACTAATTAATAAATTGATTGTATACAACTTTTCTAAAACATGTTCTTTAAGTTTCTACAATTGGCTTCAGAATTTAATGCTCTAGTTTGTTTAAAAAACAATAAAAAATACTTTTATACTTATTCCAGAAAACACTTTAATAGGATAGTGATAAGATTGATGGAATGAACTAAATAAAGTAATAAAATAATAAGTTTTGGTATATAAATACCTAAATGGCCAGTCATTGGTGCAGTTAACATCAAATACAGAAAATGGTCGTCATGACGAGCTAGATTTCGAGTTCTTGGGCAACCGAGAAGGAAAACCAATTACCTTGCAGACTAACGTCATCACAGAGGGCATTGGGAATAGGGAGGAAAGAATTATTCTCTGGTTTGATCCCTCAGCTGATTTTCATTCTTACCAAATCCTTTGGAACCAACATCAAGTTGTGTAAGCTCCCATTTGTTTGTTTTTCATTGTCCTTGCTATTTATTCATTATATCGCAGAAAATATAATATATAGAAAAAAGGGTTTAATGATGAAAAGAATGAATGGAATAACATCCAAAAATCCGCTAAAGTGTGTTGGAATATAAGCTCATCTAATGGTTGATTCAAGTGTTTATCTTGCATATTTAGAGCAAATAGCTTACCATTGAAGCATTGCTTTTCTTTTTGCCGGAGACAACTAATATGTCTTCAACAAGAATTGTGAATTTTGTTATTTGCAGGAACTTTCAGTTTGTAAATCATATATATTCAATGTCAAAATAATTAAATTGTATTAATTAATTTTCCAAAAATATTTTCTTAGTATACTATACAGAATGAATCTTACAAACATATTATTTTCTCATTTGCACTATAAGTACGTGTCTAAAGTAAGTTATTGTATAAAATGTGAATGTCTTGATTAAATAATAAATCATATTCAAAGTTAAAGTCAAAGGTAAAAATAAGAATGAAAACATGTATTTTGTTAATTATTGTGATTATGAAGATTAGAGTTAGAATTGAAATTAGTTGAGAGGTAACTATGTAGTCTATGTATCAATCCATAATATCATTTATAACGTTTTTCGATGAAATCTGATACATAGTAAAGCTTGTTTCCGAGTATACTATAATGTTTGTGAACGGAACTAGTTATCATAATTATTTCTTCATATTTTATATATGCGCCTTTTATTTTATTGGTTCAGCTATATATGCATAACTTTGCATACATACCGGTGTTTATAATGGTGCAGTATCAACCATTCCAAACAGATATGTATGCATTATAATGTAGCTCAAGAGATATTTTTATTTTAATTCATAGCACTTATAAGTATACTAAACTTCAACTTAGCTCAAGAAATAATTTTATTTTAACTCATAGCAATTATAAGTATACTAAACTTCAACTCAAATAGAAACATATTTTGTAAAAAAGAAAAAATTGACCTTTAAATGTAACAAGTGCAAAAAATTATTCCCTCACGGATCATGACTAATAACCACAAAGGGCATACAAAAAGTATAACTTTATTATCTAATTATGAACAATTTCAAGGCTATATCGCAACTTGGATAGACATAAAGAAATTTAACAGCTGAAACATGAGAAGTTTACGAAGAAATACATGAAGAGAAATAATAGTTGAAAGTATAACAAACGATCATCGTTTTATTAACAAGAATAAAAACGTGAAAGTTAATTCTAATACAACGATATCTCATGAGAGATAATGTACCAAATGGCGCTTGTATAAGGTATTACTCATCTTTTGCATGCAATCATTATGCATGTCAAAAGGTACCCTGCTAGGGTAGTACATGCATCTTTTGATCTTTTGTTTACAAATAGAGTTTTAACGCACATGATTAATTAACCCTTGTACAAAATAAGACACCCATTAGGATACTAGGTGTATGACTAATTACATAGCATGAAACTTTTGACGCATATTTAAATTATAATGACTTATTGTACATAATTTATATAGTAGAGGGGGATTTGACACATTAAATTATTATTTAAAATGAAAGACCAACTTAATTATCGATTGAGATTGTGTAATACTTCTTATAATATACAACAATTATGGATTATTATTTTAGAAAAATGCATTACTAATCATAGTGAATATTAAAACCATCATATTTATTTATTTATTATGTGAATATTTTCCCTAACATTATTAGACTTGATTTGGACATGTAGATTTTATGTAGATAATACACCAATCAGAGTGTTCAAGAATAATGCCAAGATTGGAGTGGAATACCCATCATCACATCCTATGCAGATTGAATGCAGCCTATGGAATGGAGAGAGTTGGGCGACAGATGGGGGGAGATCCAAGATAAACTGGACACACGCACCGTTTAAAGCCGAGTTTCAAGGGTTCAATGTGGATGCTTGCCATGCAGATAATAATCTGAGCTCTAGTATTGACCATTGTTCCTCGCTTACATACTGGTGGAACCAAAACCCGTTCTGGACATTAAATGATACTGAACAAACAACTTACACTCAAGTTAGACATAAATACATGAACTATGATTATTGTGCGGATCTTTCAAGGTTCTCCAACCCTCCACCAGAGTGTGTTGTATAAGGATCAAATCTCAATTACATATATTTTCATTTAATATTTTATATTCACATTACTACTTATCTAATACTAGTATGTTATATAGTAAATCCTCTTACAATCACATTGACACCGAGTTGGCAGACCTTATCTCATTTTAATGCAATGTCGAATTATTAATGTTTGTAGGCACGAACGTCAATTTTCATTATATATAAGTGTGTGTTTGTATGTTGTGAAATTCACATAAAACAATATTTCCCATAAGAATGTAAACTTGTGAAATTTTTATTTGATGGAATGCACAATTATGTTCAACTTGTCCAGTTTTGAGCAACTATAGAAAAATTACTTTATTTACCATGTTGCATGTAACATCTCAAAAATTTATCATGCTGCATGTAACATCATGATGAGTATGAGGTCATGGAAGCTTTCTTGGAGAGAGGTGTGGCAATGTCACTGTTAATGCTAGTTTTACTTAAGAAATGAGCTTACCGACTCTAGATTTCCCATCCCTTCTTCTTTCTTTAATAGTGATGAGAATTGTAATAAACTTATCACCGTCTAAACTTCTCCGAAAATAAAAGAACGATATGGAAAATAGGGTTTTCATGCAGCAACTCTTGTCTTTATACGGTAGATCCCAGATCAATATTCCTTTTTGGACGCTTCACAAATGAACCTATTTTAGCCCCATCTCACATTTTCTAATGTGCTCTTTGGGGCCTATTTTATTGGTCGAACATGTAATACTTACTTTTAATAAAATTGATAAATGTTCCCTGACACTTATCACACCTTAACAGGTGCAATTCAGGATTAAAAAAAGTGAAAATTGGCATATACGTATTCATATACTCATTAAAGGGAGTACCCTTAAGCACAAAAAATAACCAAATGTATGGAGTGGTTCCTACGCATGATCACCCTGTAGTGTATGCCTAGTAAATTAATGTGCTTTCTATCTTCATTATGTGATGTTCTATCCTATCAAAGGACCAAGCGAGAATATTTCTTATGTCAAACATATATGGAGAGTACATCTTGGATCCAAAGTCTTAGAATGTGTCCCTTCCCATCTCGCATGCAATTTCATTGTACTTTTGGTAATAAAATTTGTGTAAAGCAAGACTGAATTTGAGAATGTTGATTGGAGTGCGTGATCAACGTGGCCATGCTTAGAACTGCATTGTTGAATAATCTGAGATGTGATATAAACTTGGACGGAAAGACTACAAAATGAAAAAAAAAACAAGTTACATATTCAATGTGGGGAAAGTAGAAAAATGGACATAATGAGTGATTGATAAATACTCTTATGACAAAAATGGAATTAATTCATTTAGGATACTAGTTGACCTAAAAAGATTGGAAAGTTTTTACCAAACGAAAAATATAGTTTTTGAATGTTGAGATGTGCATTTTGATGAAACATATCTTCTGTTTGAATCTTCACTGCATGACTCAACTACACACCACATGTCCCTATTTCTTCTTAGCTTCTACGTTATTACATGCACAATGACCAGCGTAGGACATTTTTCACATATAAGGAGCACACCAGTGATACAAACATCCGCTCTCCGTGCTTCGTAGACATCCCATGTGGTGAAGAGTACATTTACTTTAACTCACCTACTAAGCACAACATCGTACCAAATACTTCAATGCAACTAACTATATTAACTCCACATGCATTGAAGATCCTACTCCACCTCACTCAATGTAGCAAAATCCACACGATCAAATAATTTGTAGAATCCATATATTAGCAACATTGTGTGTAGTTGTGCACATTGACAGAAAGTGATGTCAATTAGGTAACGTGATTATGTTTGTATCAAATTTATGGATGTAGACCTACACCGTCATTAACACCAATTTATTGGTCTCTTCATGTACTTCTTATGTCTTAACCTGCTGCTATTTATGTTCATATTGAACCATCCATGGACTCAACATCGATTGTGTCGATCAACACATGAGTTGAGGCTATAGAAACAATGACACATGGTATATTTAACATATTTAATTATTTAAAAGATGATCATCCCATGGAAATGGTTCTATAAGATTAAGTATCATAGTGAGAGTTTTTTTTGAGTGAGTTCGAGTATGCCAAGTGATGATGTGCATTAATGATCAAGTTGAAGCCATAAGTTCGCACATATGGCAGTTGCTAGTTGTTGCTTCATAGAAGCAGGGAGCTGCATCATATTAACATTAATAATGTATTCCTTCATGTGAATTTTGAAGAATAAGTTTTTAAACTCTTGTAATGTTTTCAAGAAAGATCGGTCCATGCACATTATTGTATAGGTCTAGCACCTGCCTGTTCGGCATCTATGTTTGTTGATCGTGTTCTAGTGCCTTATGAGTATATCGATCGTGGGTCAAAACTCATAAAATCCATGAAGTTATTTTAAATGACGTGTTTTTATAATAATAATAACATAATGATAAAAACAATCGGAAATATATTAAATGCGCGAGTCATTTACTATTTAATTTGCACTCTATCTACTATTTAAAAGCTACTACGTAGTATTTACTAGGAACATTTATTTAAATTAAACAATAAAAATGCTATTATATTTAACATAGTAGCAAATTTAGGCAAAGCTGGGTATATTGAAACTAGTAGCAATGAGTACGTGCTTAACTAATAGAAGTGCATTTAGGGGTGGGTTCGGTTCTTTCGGTTCGGTTTTGACCTAAAACCAAATACGGAACCAAAGTAAAAGTTCGGTTCGGTTTCGGTTCGGTTTTACACTCCAAAACTTCAAACCACGGTTTGATTGGTTCGGTTTGTTTTGGTTCGGTTTCAATTTTTTCGATTTTTTACTAAATATTTGTCATTTAATTTAAAATTGATATACAAGTTGGAGGGATCAAACATGTTACATAAAAATGCAAGCATACTTGAACAAATGAAGAAAATAATAATAAACAAATATGTCTTGAATTATATGAGTATGCGGGAGAGATAAAAGTGTGTATCTATTCTTAATTTACAATGTTTGTGACTAGTTTGAAAAACGTTTATGAATACATACGTCCTGTGTGATTTAGCCGAGATGAATATTTATTTGTTTTATCAATATAAAAAAGTTAAGTTACAAAAAAGAATTAAGTTACATAAAAATAAAAGTTAATTACTACTAAGAACTAATAAAAACATATAATCATGCAACAAATTGCAACATACATACATAAAAGACATAATAGATCAATATAGCTACATTATTATGGGCAATGAATGTGTAAATGCATTTATAAACTAAACTAAACATAGCATAAACATTATTTCTCTAGCACAAGAAATTCAAAGATTATTGATGATATTAAGATTAATGCTAACATTTAACAAATAAAATTTCATATTTTATTTATGTTCGGTTTGTTTGGTTCAGTTCGGTTTTGAAGGGTAAGAACCAAAACTGAACCAAACTACTACGGTTCGGTTTTTTACATTCGGTTTCAGTTTTTAGCGGGTCGGTTTTATTTGGTCGCGGTTCGGTTTAATTTGATTCAGTTTTCGGTTTTTCGGACCCAACCCTAAGTGCATTGCATATATTGCTAAGATGCACATTGTAACTTTTAGAATCTAGAAATTGAAATACATAATAACAACAAACAAATTGCTCTGCATATTAAAAACTTACTCATTGATATGTTAAGATGAATGTGATCGTACTTAAAACTCAGAAAAGTATTTGGCCAATGCCTACATACAAGTTCTACACATGCATATACATTTATGTATATCACATCTACTGAACTTTAATTATATTCTATTTTTCTGAAGTAATTTTGTCTACCATATTTTTTCTCAAGTTAAATTCTTACATTCCACAATGTTTGATTATATTAAAACATTCTTTAACTATCAAAGTGGGACATTAAAGGCTCGTTTAATGAGAAGAAGTGCAGTTAATGACAAGGAATCATCTTCTATCAGAAAATTGATATAGAGATCTAACCATTTTTTCAGAAAGAAGAAATCACGTGAAACTGTTTTAAAGGAGGAAGGCCTTTGCGCAAAATATTTGGCTAAAAAGTCCCAAAACATCACTATTAAGTTCATTGAAAATTGGTGAAATTCATGAGAATAATATTGACTTTCAGGTATTCTACAATAGTACTCCTTATTGAGACTGTTCATAAAAATAATCCACGAGTCGCCTATATGAGCTTTATGTACATGGCATCTCTCATATCAAAATGGGCCTAGAGGTCTTTCCATGGAACACAAATTAACATCCATGGAGGCCATCTATGGAACACAAACTAATATCCATGATTTCATGAACCAACGATCGAGCATAGAGTTTACAGTATAACCAATCTTCAGTACCATCTCTGTTCAATGTAAGGACGCTAATAGCTCACCGGTGAACCGTAAATGTTATTAAATGGAAGTCGAACCCTTTACAACTGCCCCAAGAGGGTATTTATACCAGTAATAAATGAGTGATGCATTAAATGCGCATACATGTGTTGGCTATTCCATGAGCGAGAGTCCTAGGTCATGGAAGACTGTGAAGTGTGTCATTCCGTTATTCGACTTCTGAACGGGTGTCATCTGTTAGACGAGGTGATGGTGGGCTGAGGTGCTTGTGCACCTCGTCCACATTTTTTCTCTCGTTCCTGGGTGATTCGGTCTAGTTATGTCTGAGCAGTGCAGGACGAGGTGTCATCGGCCAAGGTGAAAAGAGTTGAGTTTAGTACGGATGATGATCATGTTTTGGTGTCTGTGCCTGTCTCCGGTTGAAGGGCCCCATATGGTGATGCGGGTTTCGGTCGTCATGTACACAAGAGTATGCGGGCCGTGAACCTGAGCCCATATACTCTATCGGACGCCAATTGTACCTTCAAGGAAGCCTGTCATTAGCTTCATTAAAAAAAATCGTCATGATTGTCGATGTGTTACTCAGTGTAATTGATTTCTTCACAAACGGTGACACAAAAACATTTAATCTTGGAATATCATAGTTATGAAGAAAATTAGAAGAAGGATCCATTATTTATATAACCTCTTCAGTGTCACATACGGGGTTATTTGGGGCCTTCTCTTCTGTTCAACATGTACCCAAATCTACGATTTCTAGTGGGCTCATTTTTTTGAAAATAATTTACGAAAGAGCAGATATCACTAATCTATTGTAGAATGATATCGATGAATGTTGATCTACATATAAGGAACACTACAAAATAAGGGAAAATTAGCGGGGTTAATTGTTCAACTTCTTTAAAGATGTTTTTAGCTGAACTAATATTAGTCTCACACCAAATAAGGCTATATATAAAGAGATTAGACTGGACATGGATGATAGTAAAATGTACTTCATTCGTCCCCCTATAATTGTCCCATTTTTTCATTTTTGCATGTCCCTTTATTATTGTCTCATACCATATTTGGTAGCATTTGTGTGTCTCTAATTCTTTCTTACTTGATTTCCACTTTATCAACTCATTACCAACCACATAAAATAGTACAGAGTATTTTATCAGACCAGATCATTTCAGACAAAATCATGCATAAACATAATACATCCGTCCTTTAATAGTTTGCCAAGTTCGACTGACCCTAGATTAATAAAGTAAAAATTATGCGGTAGAGATTTGTGATGAGGAAAGAAAAATAATAAAAGTCATAACTTAATTGATTAAAAATAAAGTAACAAAATTTTGTAGATATAAGAAAAAGAAAATTAGCAAAATTACAAGGGACCATAAGAGTACAAAATAATTTCAAGCAAGATCATACTAGATCATGCTTAAATAGAATAGATCATAAAACTTTTAGAAATTGCTCTTGGTAGGACTACAAATTCCATAAAATGCTCAAATAGGACTACCACATTTTAAGGAGAATAAACATTGATTTCTACCCTAAATACCCCTAAGGGTATTAATTCACAATGAAATGTTTTAATTCATAATAAAATCTTAAAAAATAAAAAAAAATATTAAAAAATCGTACAAATATAATAAAAAAATAAAAAAAAATTATAAAATATAAAAAGTATGTTTTATTTGAATTTAAAAAATAAAAAATAAAAAATAGTAAAAAACCATTAAAAAAATTTAAAAAACATGGATACCTTTCCCACCGCCTCCCACCACCACCACCTCCGATCGGCTAAATTCTGCCATTTTTTTAAAAACAATACCATTTTTTCTAAAAAAATGCTATTTTTTCTCGAAAATATCAAGAAAATGACATTATTACTCTTTATAATGCCAAAATTCTCATTGAATATGTCATTATTATGACTTTACTAAAAACGTTGGCAGATTTCCAATCGGTGATGGGGGCTGGTGGTGTTGGAGGGTGGCAGAGGTGACAACATTTTTTTATTATAAGTTTTTATTTGTTTTTTATTTTTTTTTTATTTTTTGTTTAAATATTTTATAATATTTTTATTATTTTTTCTACGTTTTTTATTATTTTTTACGTTTATTATTATTTTTTATAATTTATTATTAATTAAAACATTTTAAAAGTTATAAAGGTATATTTATTCAAACACACATATATAATCCTATTTGTATTCTTGGGACACTTTTTTTAGGTAATTAACTCTAAAACTTTCCATTAAATTTAGAAGACGTGCGTTATACTAATATACTATGGGGAAAAATAAATAAAATACCCAAATTTTGAAGGGGTGTGAGATGAGCACCCCAAACTTGCATATGTAATTTAAATATCTTCAATTTTATATAAAAAGTTATTTTAGCACAATAGTCAAGTACAAAGTATTATTTCTTTTTAAAATGTAAGTTTATGATGTTAATTCCATAATTTAATATATTTTAGAAGTAATATATTTATCTCACGCTCTTTCATGGTTTGGATAGCCATCGTGGTCCGACCCGTGTTTAAGAAAAGAACCCCCATTCCTCGCGATGCATCCCCCATAAAATCACTGCAAAACCACATCGAGAAATCCCGCCCGCGATTACTCTCACCCCTGAAACACCGTTCCTGCGAGATCACTCTCCGTATTGAAATACTATCCTGTATTTTTATGTGTAGACATAATCATTTACTCATCATCTTCAGATTCGAATGCAGAATTAGCTTTAGGGTTAGGGTTTGAAGCTGGGAACTCAGTCTTTTCTAGCTATTCGAGTAGCCCCATAAGTAATTTCTACAATGTACGCTGATCGAGTGGAGGCTGGGGATAGGCTCTCTGTAAGGGACAGGCTCATCGGCAAAACAGTTGGCGGTTCTGCTCGCCGACGACAAATCACCGGCAAGAGGTTCCGTTTCTCTCTGTCTCTCTAACCAGTTGTTTATCTCCCTCACCTCCTGTATGTGGTGTGTGTATATGAGGTTAGGAGGCTGCTTCTATGTATGCGGAAACTTTATTATTCTCTTCCGCTTTTACTTATAATATGACAGCATTTTACATAAGCTCGAGGGTGTGATGAAGTGATTACCTAGAAATGATTTTGTAACAAGCCTCTGTGAGATTGTGTTTTAGCCTGGTGTAACATCATTCATCAATTCTAGAAAAATAGGAAGCGAGAATGGTTGCAATGATTATATCCATACTTTGGGCAAACAGCTTTTAGAAAACTGTTGTCTTTTCTTTCAGACTCAGGGAAGATGACGACAAATGGGAGCATGACCTCTTCGAGCAAGATGAAACTCAAATTTCAAGTATGTTGTGATGAGCAAGTGTTGTGTCGTATCATCAGTTTCTCTGTTTCTCCTATTATGATTGACTTTTTTTTCTTGCTGTACAGGCCGCAAACTTGGTGCAAAGGACCTTCGTCTTAAGTTGCAGAGAAGAAGTACCCTAGAGACCTCTCGAGGTATAAACAAATCCATATCAAGAGGTACCAGGGATCTACGCGAGAAGCTTTCTGGTACAGTAGCAGCGGCGGTGAATATATCTAAACCAAAGACAAATTCTGAGGTCAGTAAACCTCTTAGGAAAAGTGGAGTTGCTGAAGCCCTGAAATTGGAAACAAAGAAAGTTGGAAGCACAACATCTAAGAAGAAGAGTCAGCAGAAGGCAAGAATATTTCCTTTGTTTTACTTTTTAAAGTTTGTTGTTGTGAAACATGAACAAACTAAGGAAAGTGGGATTATGTGGTTAATGAGCTGAGTATTTTTCATATCATTTTAAAACAACAGCAATGATGCTATTGTATTACTCCCTTCGACCCACTTTCTTTTCCCATATTTACTTATTTGTCCATCCCTCTAAGTTTGTCTCATGCTGTATTTGGTAGTATTTGTTTGGTTCAAACTTCAAACTCATTCATGTTTTACAGATTCAACATTAACCACATAATCCCACTTTCCTTGGTATGCATACCACCTCCTCATGTCCCAAAGATAGTGGGGCACGCACTGCAAATGATGTTCCCTGACCCATATCGGTGTTTAAAAAGTGTGTGCAGTTACATGCTGCGCTTGATTATATGAAATGAGTATTTTTCATATCACTTTAAAACAACAACAATGGTGATATTGTATTACTCCCTCTTCATCCCACTATCTTTTCCCATCTTTACTTATTTGTCCATCTCTATAAGTTTGTCTCACACTATATTTGGTAGTATTTGTTTGGTTCAAACTTCAAACTCATTCATGTTTTACAAATTCAACATCAACCACATAATCCCATTTTCCATAGTGTTCATACCACATCCTCATGTCCCAAAAGACAGTGGGACACATACTAAATCACACTTCCGCATTTCCTTATATCATTTTCTTAAGCTAAATGCCAATTTTTATTAACTTAATTAAATTAGTGTTGTAGTTCTTTGTAGTACCGTTTACATTATCCTATTAGTTGATTCACTTCTACTACTGTACTAATTGTAGTATTGTTTACATTTGCAGACTCTTTTATAAACAACCCTTCTAGCACATAAATTCCGAGTTTGTTCTTAAAAAACTCAACTTCATGCAAGGTGTAGAAAATGATAGGTATACATACAAAAAAATCTGCTTGTAAGGTTTAACTTTTATATATGTGTTTAACAAAAAATATCTAATTAGTTAGTCAATACCCGATTTGGAGCCTGTTTTTAGTCAGATATAAGACTAGACGAAATGAGAACCAATTAGATCAGACTGGCAACACAAAATATTACTCGATTTGGCCCTCAACCTTTTTTTGGACTTAATTTGGTCCTCAGATATAATATCTGCAGCCGATTCAGTAATAAAAAGGGTATTTTATCCAGTGCGCTACATTTCAACCCAATTTAGCCTTACACTATTTAATTTAATCCTATTTTAGTCCTCAACATACAAAAATATATTTCTTAAATAGAGCAAATATGCATGAGGATTGACCGATTGAGTTGAGTTTAAGTGTGTAGTCGGGACCAAATCGATGTCAAAGGGTTGGGAACAATGATAGGCAAGGGAAACTATTGGGTACCAACTCCTTTTTTATTTCTGACTCAATGTTAATGTGTGTGTATACTATATAATACACACGTGTGTGTATAGTCTAAGAAGTCACATCCATGTAGTGCCGTAGTGGTATTGATGAAATACTTTGTTCTTTTGTTAATTATAAATATTTCATCCAGTGATCCAGGTTGTCCATCAAGTTACATGCCGATTACTTCTATGATTAATATTATTATTTTTAGTTCATATGATTCATACAAAAAAATATGGGATGATTGCATGCTTGTCAAACCTTATTTGTTTTCATAAATCGTTTGACCACTTTTGAATCATGAATCCTTTGGTATCATACAATTCAAATGCTGTTCATTAGAAGTCTGGATAGCCAAATTGAGACCTAGAAGATGAAGATATATTCAAAAACTTGTAAATTAGCACTTAGGTTGTTCAGTATATCAATGAATAAAATAGGTAAATCAAGACCATATAATCAAAGCTATGTAGTATTATGTAAAATTAAAAACACGCTCCTATATAATAACTTGTATTCAATTTTTTTATTATTCATCCATCACAGCTTTAATCGCCTAAAAACTTTTAAATAAATCAAATAGAACTAGTTGAAAGAGTAATAGTAAGAAAAAATAGTATGAAAGTAGTGAATACTGAACTGTGAAGAACAACTGGCCAAAACTTTGTTTTGAATACCAAAAAATCAGAAGAGACTGGCCAAAAGCTCTGTCTGATACGCATGATAAAGTCTGTTGAATACACACAAGAAGAAGAAGAAGAAGAAGAAGAAGAAGAAAGAAGTATAGATTGGAAAATTTTGAAGAGGTGAAAAAATGAAGAAAAGATGTCGACTCGTATAGAACTATAGTTGTAGTCAAACACTGAAAGTTGCATCCAATCTTAGGAGTTCTGATGTGGTAACGCTTTGTACACCTCTTTTTTTCCTACTTATTTTCTTCTTCGAGCTGGTCAGACTAACTGTTACTCATAGTAACCTGACTGATATCCTCCCTTGCACATATCAACGCGGCATGGCGCATGCATATTCTACGACCGGTAGACCAGCATTTTGGTACGAAAGTTTCACCATCTTTTTCAATCATAGCCATGATCCAGGTTGCCAATCACAAACCCTACTCATAAGATTGTCATTGGCACACGATCTTAACAACACTGAGTAAAACACTACATGACTTTATCCACTAATGCCAAGGTCCAAGTGCCATCACAAGTCTCTTATGCTGCACCCTTATCTTCTCCAATTTCGATTCAAGCATTTTATTGTAGTCCTGAGTTGAATGTAGTTATTCAGTTCTTGCTTTATCTGTCATAGATTGTATGGTATTATGGATGAATTAATAATTGTATATAATCCACTAACTGACTTGCTATGCAGTTGCATTTCAGAAACTATCTTTATTTCCTGATATAATTTATGCAAATCTGATGCAGGCTGAATCTGTTGATAGTTTTCTGCAGTCCCTGGGTCTTGAAAAATATGCAATTACATTTCAAGCTGAAGAAGTACGTAATTTTCCTACTCGTATCCTTTGCAGTATAAACTGATTCACTTATAACCAAACCATGGTCACTTGCAGGTTGATATGGCTGCGCTAATACACATGACAGATGAAGATCTGAAAGCTATGGGAATACCAATGGTAAATAAAATTACACTGAATATGTTACATATCTATTGCTTTATTTGTAATTTGTATTTTTGAAGGATATTCTTAAAATGGAAAATAGTTTGTCTTGAAATTTGGAAAATACCATACCTGACGGTTTCATTTGCCAGAGAAATGTGTTTCACTTTTTTTTTAAGAAATTAGTTATGAAACATATATTATTGACATTCTATTCTCAAAAACTACCAATCTGGTGCACAAAAAATTACCATCTGCTTGTTTTCAGGGTCCAAGAAAGAAGATAGTTCTGGCATTGGAATCTAAACACTGAGGTTTGGGGGGGGGGGGGGGTAGTAACTGGATGTGCGTGCTTGCTGGGTTTTGTCCTTAGTTGAACTTGTGCACGATGTGTACTCCTATGTTGTCATTCTATGTCTTCCATCACGGGGAGTGGTCTCTATGATGACAACCATTTTACCAAGGGTGGACTCGCCATCTACTGCCAAAGTCAATTAGTCTACTTTCTGGCAATGCTTCTCTTAAAGTATTCGCTGTGTAACCAAGAATTTTTCTCTGCTTATTGTGTACAAAACTTATTTTGAATTATAGTCTGTTGTCTTTCCATATTCGACCCTTGCTTCTTTGTTAATTAATAATATAAAATTATTTGTTTCTCCAAACAAAAATCATGTATGCTATTTACCGGTCTCATTCAATAGTGAGTGATTCTTGACTTGTATGCTAGTAGCGGGTTGGGCCGGTTCATCACTGTAGCCGGGCCGGTTTGCCCGGCCAAAGTCCACCCCTATATGCCACTGCTATAACTTTTGTTTGAGATGGTAAATGATAAGACAAATTGTTACTTGTGTTGAGCACCAGTACATATTGGATTGGACGGGATCGGTTGGATGACTTGGATCTAGGAACGGACAGGGACAGGGATAGGGCTGGGCTGGTCTCTGGCTCGGGACTGGGCGGGTCCGTGACTAAGAATTTCAGGCCCGGTACCGGCCCGGGTTTGTACAGGGACTGGACCGGGTTGGGCCTAAACAGTGTCAGGATCGGGTTGGGAGTGGGTTGGGTCAGGCCGACCTGTCCCAGTCCATCCCTACTCTCTAGTTGGATTGAAATATTTTAAAACTGGAGAACTATCAAATAAGCCTTTGAACTTTGATAAAGAGTGCAAATAAGCCTTTTTACAGGAGGCCTTGTCCGGTCGTCGCCATTTGGGGCGGTTTTCGGTGGAATTTGTTGATGAATTTTTTTGATCATCTTCTTCATTAAGTCTAGTTTATCCATACCAAATTTCAGATAAAAATTCAATCGAGAAAGCAGTCAAGTTTTTCTGAAATATATTGCGCTGTCTAATTACGTAGTTATCTTCAAAAATTCATTTGAGTGGTTTCCCGATTGGATTTTTAGCTGAAATCTGGTATGAATAAACTAGACTTAACGAAGAAGATACTCCAAAAATTTCGTCAAAATATTCCACCGGAAACTGCCCCAAATGCCGACGGTCGGACAGAGCCTCCTATTAGAGGACTTATTTGCATTTTTTATGAAAGTGCAAGTGCTTATTTGATAGTTCTCCATTTTAAGAATTATTGGGCAGAAGATTGGACATGTAAAATTCTGGTTCATGAGAGTATGAGACCATGACCAGGCTAGACTAATCCAATTTTGTTATAGGTACCTCAAACCCTACCTCAATTGTACCCCATATAAAAACTCACCCTCACTTTTCTTCTCCCCCTTCCTCTCTCCTGCACCCCACATCTCTTCCTCCCTCCCTCTCCTCTTTTCACGCACCCCCTCCCTTCCCCTTTCTTCTCCATCTCAAAATCTTTCCCATTTTTCTCCCTTCCAACCTTAAATCTTCTTCTGCTTATCTCCACTTCCACCGGTGATGTTGCCGACGGCGGGTCTACGCTGGTTGCTGACTGCGGGTCTACGCCGGTTGCTGACGGCGGTCGTACGTTCGTTGCTATTTCGGATGCAACCTCAAGGGAAGACAACGACGAATCTATCTTCAGAAATAGGTTGTTGCTGATTAATGAATTCCAAGTTGAGCTGTGAAGCTTGCCAAGTGAGAGAATCAGCTGGCGATTTCTCCTGGCTTTCATCGTTGCCCTCATTGATCTTCTTTGTATTTGCTCTGGCTCGTGAAACACTTCTATCATCACAGGAAGGTTGCCGTTGATTAACAGACTTAAGCTGCGAACCAGGAGAATCTGATGGTGACAAAACCTGCGTACTCTGAGAAACAGCTTGCGTCAGAATCTCCAATGATGAAGAAGGCATTGGCGTAGTGGAAGAAGATGCTGGCGATTGATATGAAATCTGTGAACGAGTAGAAGGGATTGGCGACTGCGAACTGGGAGAAATTGCTCGCGATGGAACCTGCGCACTTCGCGCTGCACTAGGAGACGTAGTTCGTATCTGCGAACTGTTAGAAGCCGGACAATGCAATGATCGCGAATAATGATGATGTTGTGATCGTGATCTTCCCCACGGCTGATCACGAATGTTCTTAAACTGTTCGTTCATTGCGGCCATCGATGTTGCGAAGTTGCTCTGAATCTGTTTATTCATCGCCGCGATGTTATCAGCCATCGTTTTCATGTCAGTAACGATCCTCTCCGGCGAATCCATTCTCTTTTCCATATCTGGTGTACAAAATTCTTCCATCTCTCCAGATAGTTAATATTCTCGATCGATTCAGCTCCCACTGTGGTCGCCAATCAATTCCGATCACCAGGAGCTAGTGCTCTGATACCATTGATAGATCAATGGTATGAATCAAAGCAAAACAGTGAGGAAACACACAGATCTAGCTAGAAGAGATAGATGATAGTGTTTATTGAATGAAAAGGGATCAACGTAAGTAACAAAGGTTACAAAGCAACGGGACTGTTCGAGAAGCCCACTCTCCAAAGGCAACACCCAAATCAAACAACAACCTCCTCTAATTAGCTACCCCCACTTCTATTTATAATAAAAGTCCACGCAGGGACCAAACTGAACTCCTTGGCTAATTTTACCCCCAAAACCCCTTATTACTCCCTTCTAACAATACTACTACAAGTACCTTTACTACTACTACTACTATTATTATTATTATTATTATTATTATTATTATTATTATTATTTCTTATTAATAGCATACTAAGCCATATTCCTATCATATTATAGTTGCACTTCAATTGCAAAATACATGACTAATAGCACAATATCTAATGAAAAGAAGTAAAATCTACTACGCATATCTTAGAAATAAACTTTTGGTTTCGGTTGGAAACGTTTATAAAGAAATTGGTTGAAACAGTAAAGATAGCTGGGTTTTGGAAAAATTAATGCAATGATAATTATGATATGAAATACATACGCCTTTCCAAAGAAGAAATTCACTTTCTAAATTGTCCTTCAAACAATGTCAACTGTAAAGCCCTTCAAAGAAAAGAAAGAACAAACTAACAAAGTAGGCGGAAGTAACACAGACAGATTATTCTCCCTCACAGTTATTATGGAGTATGGTTTTCTTCACTGCATGGAAAATATAAGAAGACAGCGGTGAATTAAACATATAAACATGAGGTTGTTTTTACGCTTTTCGCATCCTGAGCCACAACCAAACAGTTCTCAGAAGTGCTGGGTACACCGTGTCAAAATTCTATAGTATATATCCAACTAAAACGAGACACTTTAAGATGGTCAGAACATATTCATTAGCATTCAAAAATAAACTAATTTTGGACGAATGATTCAAAAATTCATGTGATGATATATGTGCTCCGACATGTTGCCACAACTTAGTCCACCCGGTTCCCAAAGTCAAAAGCTTACGACAATGCTTAGCTGAGTAGTATGGACTGTGTGCCCTTCCATGCCATATATTTTCTGTTCTCTCGTCTGTATCTTCTAAACTCTCTAAGAACAGAAAGAATGACATGCATAGCAACTGGCAGAAAGAAGGGCTGCACAAAACACATATTAAGGAAACCAGTTAAGACGATAGCCTGGGCTCATTCAATATTTTGGAGGATAATAAAGTCATCCAAGTGAAATAGAAAATGCATTTATTTGTGAGTTGGTTAATAATGCTCCCTATGCCTCGATATTATTATCTCCTTTCACCAGAGAAAGGATTTAAGAAAATGAAAATTGGTGGTTATGATTTACTTGGAAGATAGAATGTAGCATTTAGATACTATTGGACGGAAATTTGCTCGTATGGTCCATTTAAATCGGGTTGGACTAGTCTGCTCAAATTGTGTCTTGTCAAGCATGTTCTGATATTATGTGTATTTTATTGCTCCCTCATGTAGTGTTGATAGTCCCATATTTCCCTTTTTGAGTGTCCCAAATTGATAGTACCATTTCTATTTTTGGCAAACTTTTTTCTACATTAAATGTCCATTTTAACCTTACTTTTAGGGGTAACTCAATGTTTTAAAGGGGCAAGTTTACACACTAGGGTAATTATGGAAGTTTATTATTCCATTTTCTAAAATTTGAACACAAAAAGTATGGGACTGTCAATTTGGGGTGTAGGGAGTATTGTCTCTTTGGGGTGAAGTCTATTCTAATATGGTCTAATTTGTTCACGTATGGTCTTATCTAGTCTGGATTACATATTTGAGTCTACATATTGCTTTTGGACAATAATTCTGGCATGGACAAAAAAGCAAACTGAGATGATAATTTAGAGATGAAATATACGTAGTATATCATTATGACATATTACCGAATAGACAGCAAAGCAGTGCTCGAATGAATAGTAGCTCACGGACATCATGGATGGATGATAAAAGGCATCTTCCGCCAAGGATCTTGCCTGTCTTGACGAAACTGATAAAGGGAAAAAAGAGTTGCAAATCAAAGTCCAGATTTTAGAAGGGAGATTATTAAATCTACAAAGGAAAATGAAGATGATAGTTTATAAAAGACACCAGAGGTTAACTTTATGATGTAATGAACTTACCAGCTGAAGCATCATAATCTCCCATTGATACATTAGCTAGGGATGACTTTGCCGCATCCAAAGAGAATTTTACCTGATTAAGTGCACATGGTTATGCAACATAACATGCATGCCGATTTTGCAAAAACTGTATTAATACTCCCTTGTTAATTGGTATGTGTATCGTATAGATGAGTCAGCAGAGTATATGCCAGGACCCCATGCTCACATTTCCCTCCACGATCCATCCCTTCACTATGTTGACACTTGACGTGTCTTTGTTGATTGGGGCATTTCTTGATTGCCCTCACTATGTTATAAAAAAACTTTTTTGATTGCCATATATAACTTTTTTTATTAACTTTGTTTTTTGAGACAAGGGCATATAAGTTCCAAATTGTACTTTTTGTGTTCAATTGCTCCAATAAAAAGTTCACAGATATATAAGTTCAAGGGTATATAATTGTTCATCCTCCCTTGGGAACATACAATTTGTCTTTGAGAGGAAAGTACAATTTGTCTTTCTTATGTTCTTATGTTAGTTTTATCTTATATTTATCTTTACCTAATCCATTTTATCTTACTTTATCTTTTTATTCTTCTTATCTTTCTTCTCTTTTTGGCTCTGACATCATCGATCAATTCATGTTAGCCGATCCCAAAATCTTTTGGGAATAAGGCTTGGATGTTGTTGTTGTCATCCCTTGGGAAAATTAGCAAAAGTAATTTAGCCTGAAAACATTACTTTTGATTATTTTTTGGTCTGGTCTGGTGTGAATTGGTCTCATAGATGTCCGGTTTCTTTTTCTTTTACAACTGTCCAGGTCTGGTGTGATCTGATATGATAGTGAAATAAGTTCAAGTAAAAACTTCCTCAATCTGTCATCTTCTGTTGTCATTTTCAGAACATTCGACTTGCGGCTTGCCATTGGGCATATTTGAAATTCTAAAGAACCTCAGTGATCATTTGATAATTTGACCAAAGCTAGGGGAGGTAGATGTAATGCCCCATATTTCTATGTGAATGATCTCATACAACTTAGTTACAAATGAGGTTCATGTAGCACAGGAGGTCTATTTCCCTAGTTCCCTCCCATTGTCTTCTCCCCCTACCCTATCTCAAGTCTCAACTACTAAATCCTAGTAGAGTAGGAGCAAAAACTCTGATCCAATGATTGAGACCCCGGGAGGAGAGTAGGAAGAGGGGAAATAGGAGGGAAGCCAATCCCAAGGCAGTAACGTGGTATTTAGTTGTATGTATCCGGAGTCAACAAATCTCTTATACTAATAGACTGACAGGGAATAAATGCAAAGGGTCGATGCCCACAAACAGGAATCTAAAGGACCTCCTTGTATAATTGAATCACTAACCTGCTTTCCTATATCATCCATGACTATCATCCTAGGAAGTGACTGAACCTGGATGGAGATGATAGTCAGGAACTAGTGTTTCAATAAAGTACAAAGTACGAACAGCCAAATGAGTGAATGACATACCAATCGACTAAGTGATCCAAGAGTGGTGCCACATTGAACAAGATTGAAGCATGTGTGTTGACGTGATATAAAATCCAGTTCCCTAAAGAACAAACATTGAATTATAATTAGGGAATGCAAGCTGAGAAACTTAACAAGCCCCCCCCCCCCCCCCCCCCCATAAAACATGTGTACCAACATGTTACTGAAAAAGATAAGAGATATATACATGAATATGCAATCCTGGTTGAACATTAAAAAACTAAAAAGAAAGCTGATAAGTACTTCGAAGGTTTCAAAAACATAGTCATTTTCAAGAAAGACTTTTATCCTAAACAAGAGCCCGCTTAAAAGTCAAATTTCATACGATAGTATATGTTAAATTCCTGTAAAGTAGAGAGCAAGCAGTTTTGGTCAATTCTAGTTAGGAGTAGAGTGAACATTCATAACTTGTAAAAGCTTGTACCTAAATTGAAATGATTAAAAATAAACAAATTGTACCATACTCAAAGAGGGCTCAATTATATTTAAATTCAAGATACCATCACTATGGATATGCAGGTGGTAAGTGTCACTGTGGCATACACAATAGTCCACCAAAAAGGGTAAACATATGTATCATTAATAAGGTATTTCAGGACAAAAATAAGCCTTCCTATGCCCATATGTAAACCAATGGAGGGTGAAGATGTATATGAATAAAATATTCAGTGATAGAATATGAACCAAATCATTGCACAGCTGTGTGAGAAACTTATTTAGTATAGACATTTCTCATTGAGTGTAAATCCTGACCATTGTGTAAAGCCTTTTGCACTGGTTAATAATTTAGATGTGGCAGTTGCACCAAGATAGAGACTATTGGAATTCAGACCAAATAATTGTCGTAACTGCCCCATGAAAACTTCAATAACCTTCTTTAAGTCCTGTTTCAATATATCCATTAATCAGTCAACTCAATAAATAGCCAGCAAACATATCCAAACAAAAGCAAAAACAAGGAAAACCTGAACTTTACAGTATGCTTATGAATGCTGACCTCAGAGGGAATTTTATGCCTGAGAGATTGCATCCTTGATGTCTTTGAAATAGCTGGCGGATTCCAAACAGTAACTCCTCCCCACATCTTAAAAGTGTCATTTTTGTTATGAGAGAGGATTAGGTGCAAGATAGACAGGCAACCAAATTTTAGGGTTAAATACATCAATATCACTAGAGGTTGGTCAAATTACAAAATAGTTCCTGAAGTTTATAATAAATATAGATATTGTTAACACAGAATATGATAGAATATAATGATATTAGGGTTATATACAGCAAGCCAGTAAATTTTTTCTTGAAAGATACAGTTAACACAGAATATGATAGAATATAATGATATTAGCAGGAATCAAGTGTTCCGAGCTTAACATTGTATTCTATTGCTTCTTATTGATAAGGGAAAAATAACTAAAATACCCCAAACTTTGATGGGGTGTGATATAAGCACCCCAAAAATGCATATGTAATTTAAATACCCCAAACTTTATATAAAAAGTTATTTTAGCACCATGGTCATGTATTATTTCTTTCAAAAATATTAATTCTTGGTGTTTATTTCATAATTTGATAATTTTTAGCATTCATAAACATACAATTAACATTCTAAACTTCCATTGTAAAATAAATAGTATTACCCCCCCCCCCCCCCCCACTACATATAATTCTAATGTTTTCAATTTGCTATTTTAAATTATGCATTTAACACCATAAGTTTACATTTTTTGAAAGAAATAATACATGACCATGGTGTTAAAATAACTTTTTATATAAAGTTTGGGCATATAAATTACATATGAAAGTTCGGGGTGTTTATCTCACACCCCTTCAAAGTTTGGGGTATTTTAATTATTTTCCCCAATTGATAAAAAACTTTACGAGGTTTTTAGGGAGAAAACATTAGGAACAAATGTTAAGAGCAATTTAGTATGAAAAACATATTTGGAAGAAATGATGAGATTAATTTAGTCAGGGGAAAACCAATTCCTAGTAATGTCATTAAATTCTATCATCTTTTGTTGTCATTTACAGAGTATTTGACTTGTCATGGGGTGTAGTTGTAATTTAATAACCATGAGGATTGTTTAGTAATTTCACCAAACCTTGTGGGGGTGGGGTGGGGGTAGATGCAATTATCACAGGTTCTTACGATAAATCCTATACTCACAGGTGATATAAATCCATTTGTAGATGACAGTTTTCCATTTGGAAGCTGCAATTGAAGAGGGTATTCGTCTGCTGATGGCACGTACCTGGAATTAAGAAATCAACAGAAATGCTGAGTTCCATTTTTCTTATTTACTGATAAAAATGTTCATGACAGTAAGCATGATCAAATTAAGTCTTTTTAAAATCTTAGGATCGTCTAATGTAAAGTCATTTAACTAATTCATCTCTTCCAATTCTGTCAGATTGAATATAAGGTGGTATCGTTGAGGTGGATGAAGTGTTTATACTGATATAATGTTTTTGTAGGGGCTATACAAAGGAAAAGAAACAGTTGAGCTTAACTCTTTCAGTTAAGCACTGACTACTCTTGCTGTGGTTGGGTTGCACTATGAAAGTACTTTATGGTTTTTCAAACAATCTGTTTTTAGGTTCTTCCCATGAGCTACTGCAACGCCATGATCATATTAAGCTTAGAAACAACTTTTCAAATGCCAGTCAAATGAGAAACTCATATCAGTTATTTTCAGTTTATTAGAAATTGTGTTATTGTAAACGGGGCTGGCTAGTTCAGTATCACAGCCCAATTTCATTTTGGTTTGACAACTTTAAAAATATAAGGAAAATGTTCAAATGGACCCTTCTACTAGTTCAAACTCATCATTTGAGCCTCTATACTAAAAAACTACTCTATCCATCCCAGCTTAAGCTTCTCACTTGACTTTTTTGGCCATCCCAGCTAGAGCTTCTCATTTCTATTTTAGGAAATAATTAGCAATCTTAAATAACAGATTAATCATCAATTATTAAAAATAATACACCTATAACATCACAATTATAATCAATGACCTCATTATGTTATATATCCATCAACATTACTTCTTAAAATATACTCAATTTGCCTTATCTAAGTAACCGTGTCATTTTTCAACGAGAACCTTAAGCCAAACGTAGGTAGTATCATATAAGTACGACAGTACATCTACTTTGAAAACACAATCAGTCCAGTCATTTTGAACTACTATAGCAGATTATTTTTGAAAAATGAAATTAAAAAATTGATAAATCTTATAAAAATTTGAAAAACATATTAATAGTAATGTAAAAATACTGAAATGCCCAAAATAGATAAATAATTTTAAAGAGTTAAAATTAAAAGACAAAAATAAAAAATGAATAATAAAGTATGTAAAAAAGAAAATTAAAATGTAAACCCTTTTAAAAAGTGTCGAATATACAAATAATTCAAAACACACAGATTTTGACACTCTAATTTTTTACAAATTTATTTCCAGTTTTTTGCATTTTATCAAATAATTTGTAGTTTTTTTATTAAAGCCCACTGTACTTGGTCAAAGACCAGTTGAATGGTCGGATTGATCGATTTTTTAAAAGTAAGCATACCTATATGATACTACGTACTTTATTAGTATGGGGGCTTAGGTAATGGATTTGAAATAGTAGAAGGTCATTTGGACCTTTTCCCAAAAATATACTACCTTCTTTCACTTTTAGTTGTTCTTTCGATGGAACTTTTTTTCCCATTCATTTTCCTTTTTTTACAACTATCAATCTACCATCATACCAAAAGAAATAAATATTCTTACCATTGCATCTACTCAACTTTTTTCACTTGTTCTATGCTATTATTCACTACGGCTACCACTTTTGTGTTAGATCCCAGGCAACCCTATAGATGCAAGAAAATATGAACAGAGGGAGCATGTTTAATGAGGAATTAAAAAGTAGTCATACTTGTATTTATCAAGTTAGTTCTGAGAACTACCATTAAAAACTGAAAACCATTTTTCCTGGTTTTGACAATCTTGTTTTTAGTTTTCAAATTCACAATCTTGCTGATTCTTGCATTAGTTTTGAAAAAACAGAAAACGGTTACATACAGGTCCAACTGTTTGATTTCATATCTCACACTGCTACCATCATATATAAAGAGTTTCCCATTGTTCCAGACTTCCAGTTAATATAGAGTTTAGCAATTGTGGCAGTAAGCTAAATAGTGTTAATAACATACACCACAAAATGCAGGATTTTTGACCGACCACCAGCTCCTGTCGAAGTATCCAAATGCCACTCATTCGAATTTACCTATGAGGATCATAGGTAGTAGAATCAGGACTTCCACATCATCATCAATAACCATGAAGGTAAATTACTTACAAAGAAAGGGAGATCTTTGATACTGAAAATATAGCTCCCCAGCTTTTCATCCCATCTAGAAAATGAGGACTTCGGAGTATGGTATAGAACCTGCTTGCCAACAATGGCAAATTAGATCTGTTAATACATGCTACAGGATGCAATAAGTAAGACTGAAGACATCTTAATGAGCCTTAAGACGGAAAACAAAATTAGCGGGAATGCAACCTGACTCTCCACGCTAATGTCAGCTATTGGTCTCAAAGCTTGTACTATTGGAACCAAACACGTATCATCTAACTCTTGAAAATCCCTGCTTATTCAAAAGTATTTTAGATGAACAATGTATATACGGAGAAATGGTTATAAATAGAAACTTCAGATGTTCACAATGTATCAGGTACCATGATTATCCCAGGGTTACTAAACAGGGAGTAAATCCAAGGTCGTCATATTAGAGAATTAAATAGCAAAACTCACAGGAAAAAATGAACAGAATGCTAAGAAGATGGTGGCTCAAATTAAAATCAAATAAAACATCATAAGATGCAGTAAGAATTAAGATAGATCCTTAAAGGTTTTAGCTTACCACATAGGTTACATGTGTCCGGTGAAATTGCCGCATAACCCTTGTAGACAGACTTATACTAAGAAATTTTCTGTAGATCTATTGTGATGTTTCACATGGTTTACACATACCATGCAGAATTATTAATTCATCCCTACATTAATGACTAGGTAACCTTGCAGAGTAAAAATATGATACAATAATAATTTCATATGTGATGTGTAAGCTATGGTATCCCACCAGCATTGCCCATATTAATAAGTAGGGGATCTTGTAGGTAGTAGAGTAAACATGAATACAACGAGGTGTGGAACTCATATGGTAAGATGTGGTAACATCAGTCTCCCGTACAAATGGAGGAATATAAAAGATCAAAAGCATTCTTTATTAACAAAAAAGAAGGGATGAACTAAATACCAATCATAAATCCAATCACGAGGTTCAGCATTCAAGAGATTGAATGAGAGAACAACCCTACCATCTGCACCAACTGGCATAAATTCCCCGTGGATTGAACCTTCTGCTTTCCCACCATTTACGAACACGTCAACAAAAATTTCAGCCACCTTCTCAGCTGCTTCATGCTCTGAGAGCTTACCTACAATCCAAGCATGGCGATATTTCCCAACCACCGCTCTAACCTCCTCATTCTTATTCACTACCACGATTGTATAAACCCTACTGCTCCTACTATCCAACAAAGACTCTAAAAAATCATCAGTCTTTTGGTCGCCCAAACTCTCACCAAATCCGTATTCACTTAATGTGCCACATTTCCAGCCAATCTCCTGGTTTTCACTGTAAATGCAATTGGAGTTTGAATTCTCAAGTGTTACTGCAACAGTAAAATTGCTTAAACAAGTACCACAAACTGGAGATTTTGCTGAAGTGAGTTTTTCCACTTGATTAATAATCAGAGAACCTAGTTCCGTTGGGGTGGAAGTAGTTTTGTGATCTACGTTTACAAATACAGCTTGGAATTTACAGGGAAATAGCAAGAGACTCCTTTCAATCGATAAAGCCAGTGAATCCATGTCGACAAATGGCAATGGCGCTCTATGGATCTCGATTGATTTCAACAGAAAGGGCAAACCTATAGTCATTTTTCCAGACAAGAATGAAAAAAGAATTTGAGCTGCGCGTGCAATTACATAAATGTGCACATGCCTAGTTAGAGATAGTTGGCGAGGATGTGTGTTTACCAGTGAGGAAAGAAACGAAGATGGTGAGCGTAAGAAAAAGGCGCTTCCTCCCAGGTTCGGTCTTCCTCATGGTTTCCTCATTGAACTCAATGACGGTAGACTGGCCGGATTCCCCTTTGTTGACTTCTGGACTGGGCGTTTCGGTGATTTCTGCCATAGAAGAACCTAACAGTTTAGGAGTTGATCACTTTGTTCCTCACTGCAAAGATGGCTGTTGAAGTTTGTACTCAAATTATATCTAGAGATTTCCCGAATGGGACTAAAACATAGTAAATTTGCAAAAATAGGACATTAAGTTTATTCTTCCTTAAATAGGACTCTTAATTAATGATTAAACAAATTTGCCCTTATGTAAATAAAATCCCCTTCATCTGCATCATTGAGTCCTTGGCTCCTTGCAGCGAGACCTCCAGACCACCGACACCACTCATACCTTTTTCTAGCCACCAACATCAAGACCGCCGCCGCCACTGCCCAGCAAGGCCGTCGCTGCGGCAGATCGATCGCCCCAGATGTCTTCCGCATCTCATGTCCGCATGTCATCTTCGCTTCCACGCTCCACTGCTCAGGTCGAAATATTTCCAGGTAAGTTCTTTTTCTTCTTTTTCTTCTTCTTCTTTCTTCTTTTCCTCCTCCTCCTTCTCCCTCTTATCCTTCTTCGTACTATTTTATATAAATGGATTAACGATGCTAGTTCCAATCGTTATTCTCTAGGTTTCAATGTTGTTCTTACAATTCAAAAATAGAGCTTTGTTGATTTTTAAGATTCAAATGATTTTTTTTATTTGAAAATTTTGGATTTGGAACTTTTGGATATGAACTTCCCATCCTCTTCAAATCTGGGTCCTCTGTTTTCTTCTTTTTTAGATTTCCAGAAAATGACACTTTTTTATTAAGAGAATGTCATAATTATTGGGTATTTTTAAAAAATGTCACTTTTATGTCATTACAATATTTGAAAATGCCATATTGAAAATGACATGTTTCTATACGAAACTGTCATTGTTGTGTCATTATTGGTCATTTTTAAAAAATGTCAATTTTATGCCATTACAGTATTTGAAAATGTCATATTGAGAATGTCATGTTTCTATACGAAATTGTCATTATTGTGTCATTATGCATATATTAAGTGGCATCCTCGCATATGAAGTGTCACATTATTGTACTGACATAAAAGTGACATTTTGTAAAATAACCAATAATTATGACATTCAATAATTATGACATTCTTAACCATAAAAGTGGCATTTTGTCAAACAATCAATAATTATGACATTCTCAGGGTTAAAAGTGGCATTTTATGAAAATCAGTGACCAGGGCATTCTTACGTTCAAGATCAAAGGGGCTTTGTTGAAATAAAACTGTAAAAAGCCAAATTGTTCCATTAACAATCTGAAAACTAACAGATTGATAGATAAAACACAAAAAGCAGAGGATCAGGAAGAGAATGAGAAGAAGAAGAAGGTTGAAGAGGAGGAGGGGGGAGAAACTTAGAAGCTTACCTGGATTCGCCGGAAAAATTACCGAACGGGTGTCGCCAAATAGGTGTGCCGCTGCGATCCATGGCGTGGGAAAAATCACAGGCGAATTGATCGAAGAGACAGGGGGGTTGATGGTGTTCAATGGAGAGGGAGAGATGTCGTCATTGAATATGACGGAGATGCGCTGGGCTTTTGGGTTTAGTTACTAGAAGGCCGAAAATGTAATTTGAACTCTTATTTAGGGAATAATAAACTTGTAGTCCTACTTTGGAATTTTCTTAATGTTTTCGTCTCATTTAGGGCAATTATTTCAATTATATTCAAGCACGAGCATTTATTGTTGGGTGACAGGCAATTTTAGAATTGATATTTCTCATTTACAAAAAAGGGATGACACTCATCCTTGAGTCTCCACAATCCTGATCGGACGGTAGGCAATTTTCGAATTTATATTTCTCTGTCTGGTTAACAAGAATATAGTATTAGGTGACGAGCAATTTCCGAAATTCAATCTGGTATAATTTTAAAGACAAATCAGTGAGTATATGGATTGTTATCTTAATTTGAATGCCAAAAGTGAGAAAGATATGTTGTATATCTTCCCTCCTACTCGTTTGTACGAAATGCGCTGATATATATCCATATTACACGTCCCATGCAGTTACAACACGTTTGAAAATAACTGTGACAGTTTTTGGGAAACTGCACGAAACTGCTCAACCCCGCTCTAGACCTTGGTCTAGAACCACAAAGTTGATCTACTGAGTGTTCTACCTCGAGTTACACTGCCGTAGACACTTTGGAATAGAACTCGTTCTTATATACAAGTGTGCACTTCACACATCCTAGCTTGTATTAGAACACAGTTCTAATCCTCATTGGCACTCATGTCATTTCCTATGGGTACCGAACCGTCCCGTAATGGTACCGAACCGAATACCAGGTATATACACGGTTCTATAGATTTTAATCCCGTACCGAAACCGTACTGTTTGAAACGGGTACGGGACCGGTCCTAGATTTTGAGAACCGAACCGTTCGAAAATAATGCATTTCAATTTTTATATTTTTTTCTATATCAATATACGGAGTATATCTTTTATAGATCAACAATTTTATACCCCAAGTATGTATTCATGTGTCCCTAAAGATATCTAAATGTGTTTATATATATATATATATATATATATATATATATATATATATATATATATATATATATATATATATATATATATATTGCTATTTTTTGTTTTTATATAATTTACGTAGTATGTTATATTTTGGTATGTATTGAAAGAATATTAAAAGTTTAGAAATCATTAATGACTATTCATTTCTAGTAATGTAGTGTACATGACTTTTTGTTGTATCATGTTTGTGCAATTTTTACAACCTAATTAATACTTCCTCTGTCCCGAAAAGGTTGGTCAAAGATGACTTTCATGTGGATTAATAAAGTAAAAATTGTGTAGTTGAAATTTGTGCAGAAGAGAGAGAATTAATTTTAGCCACATATTTTTTACTTTAAATGGAAATGACAAATCTTTTTGGGACATCCAAAAAAGGAAATTTGGCCAACCTTTTCGGGACGGAGGTAGTATGGTTTAAATCTTGGCTCCCAAGGTTCAACTATAAATTAAATTAGAAATACAGAGTAATATTTAACCTAGAACGAAGAAGAAGAAGAACGTTGAAGATTTCTATTATATTCAACAATTTGATGATATTCGTTTTTATATATTCACATAAACTTAGTAAATTAAAGATGATATTTATCTCGTGCGTCATTGTTTTGCTATACTTTTTCTTAGTTGTGTTGCACTATTCGTGTATTTGTGAATTTTAGTACTATGTATGCAATTTCTTGTATTTATTTCAACACTTCATGTGAGTTGGTTGGTTTGATGATATGTACTAATTGCAAGATTTGTTCAAAGTTTTAAGCATGTGTTTGGCATTGTACCGTACTGTTTTGTACCGTTCCGAAACAACATGGTACCGAACGGTTCTATCATTAGAACCGGACCGTACCGGACCGTTAAAAACCTCACGGATACATTACGGGTTTTACCAATTTACCGTTCCGGACCGCGTCCACCCCTATCGACATTTCCAATTACACAAAACGGCCGATGACACTAAAATCACCAACGAAGGCAACGATCCTCCCCCATTTTAAAGTAACTCATGAAATGACATAACAAATGTTTTAAACCAAAACTTGTACATAAATGAAAATGTCAATAGATTGAATTTTCATCTTAGTATTTTACACATTCCAAATATTCGAGAATCGGGGTGTCCTATGGATCGAACTCGTCAACTCATTTGAATACCTGAAGATAAAATACATACAAGTTTATATACTCAACTAGAATACAAACTTGACACAATTATAAAGTCGTGTGTCCTAATCCCATTCATGATCGTATAAAAGTCAAGTCACAAGCCTTTTGAAGTGCGGCTACACTTCACGATCATATAGGTAATTCCTTTATTCATGTACCTGCTTACATTTTATCAAAGGAATTATTAAGAAATAAATTCAGCCTCCCTACCACAGGTCCGAACACACACCTTGGGATGATCTTGGTTCGTGTGTTCCAATCCATAAGTGTGAGCTTTTTGCATTGAATTCAGCCTCTGACGTTGTATTAGAGGGGAATTGGGTGTCTCACCATTAAGGATTAAATGGACTTTAAACACATCCCTATCACGGACTTGTGCACTAAGTCCCGGGCCAAGCTTTTGGTCAAGTGGTCCGCCAAGTTATGTTGCGATCTTACAAACTCAATCAAAATCACACCATTCATGATTAATTCCCCAATCATACTATGTCTGTCACGCCCTGGACCCATCCGGACACGTCAACAATCTGTCGTACAGTACGAATAGTCAACCGCAGTTCAACACATCCATACTATACAAGGTGTCTGAAATATCATTCACACATAGTACATCCATAAACAAACATAATGTAAAACATTCATTAAAGCAGCGGAAACATAAATGCAAGTGTTCAAGTCACACTTGGCAAACTTAGGCATACAAGCCCTCAAATAATTATGCAAAAATAATATCTATGAGCATTTTCATATTGTTTTCAAAACAGGAACGGAAGAATCAAGAACCAAGTCTTCTTCCTTTGATCTCCCTGAAGCAACGGGCGGTGGTAGCAACCTTCAAGTTCTACCTGAAACTGTGAGGTGGCCTCCCCCGTGAAGGGGATGTCAGTACTTTGAAACATTTGAAAAGTACAATGACAACTACACTGTATATAATCAATGATTCAATTTCTAAGACCCTCAATCTAGGGTGGTATTATGTTATACTCCCTCCGTCCCATTTTAGTTAGCCAAACTTGACTTTTCAAGTCAATGACGTCTAACTTTGACCGATTATATGTTTATATAGAGAAAATATTAATAATATGAAAATAATATGAAAATGTTATTTGTTAAAAATTCTATCATAAAAGTATAAAATTATTAAATTTTGCATACATATATTAGTTTAAATAATTGGTCAAAGTTTACTATCTTTGACTGGAAAAGTCAAAGATGGCTAATTAAATTGGGACGGAGGTAGTAGGTCATAACCCTTGGTTACCCTGTTCAAAAATATACTTGCTTTATATATAAAGTCAAGTAGTCGGCTCGTGAGTTCATATTCATTTAAAAACGCCCATCCATATCCCATATGACTACTAGTCACGATTTTCATATATTTATAATACTAGTTTTTTACGCGCGTTGCACGATAGAATAAATGCCCAATATTATTTA